GAGGAGTGATTTACAGCCAGACTGTTCCGGTAACTCCCCCTCCACCTTCTGCAGCCTAGGGAGGGGGTTGAGGTTATGAGATGACATCTTTGCTAAGGTAATGATCAGATCTGTTGGCTTGGTGGCTCTTGGCTTCTTCCATTACATCCCCTTCCACAGGGGAATGTAAATCATCCTTTATATGACAGAAACAGTGAAAGGGTTATGTTTGGGGCTACCATTAGTTTGCTGCCCCACTTCCTGTCCTTCCGTTCCTCGAGGCATGTTCACAACAAGACCTTGAGCCATGTTAACCATCTTTCATCCAGTTTAATTTAAAAAGGAAAATAAAAGGGGACTTTTTGTCAGATTTATTGAGATTCCTTTTGTTCATCTAACCCACTGAGAAGCAAATGCAGAGACCTCAGGGTTTCTCCACCAGGTTGGTATATGCTCAGCTGACTTGAGTTATGGACTCTGTGCAGCAAGCTTGTACCAACAGCCTGTTCTTCACTAGAAGGAGGGGAGTGAACTACAGTCCCTGATGGAGGAACCTGCTACTGCTCCCCCAATACCATAGTAAGTTTTCAATGAACAGAGGAAGCCAACCCCATTCCCTACAAACGGTTATTTTCTTCCAGGCCATACCTGGTCCGCTTTAATCGCTGGATGGCTAATTCCACTTACTCTTTTCCTTTCCTGTGATGTTAATGCTTCATATTGGAGGAATACATGATCATAAATAGCGCACACAGAATGGAACACTGTTTACAGTAATAATTACAGAGCATGACAGTGACTGGGTGTGACCCCAGTCTAACTAAGATGTATACATTGGTGACAATGACCAAAGAGTAGGGAAGAAGGAAGCTGGGGCAGAGAGGGTTACAGCTGAAAAAAATTCAATACAGTAGTTTATTGTTAGTATATATCTTATTCACCCCTGGGTATGCAGCTGTAATGAAGGTCAGAGACCCTGTCTAAAGCATGCTCTGTGAAGAGTAGGCTCAGGCTCATAAATGAGACCATCCCACGGCAGAACTGTGACACTCAAATATCCTTAGGGAGTAAGTGTGGCTTGTCAGTTGCTTCCTGTGATCTGGAAGGGATGGGATTTGTTTGCCATATTTTCTCCCTTGTTCCTCTCTGGAGTTGTTCTAACCTGTTTCAAACCATAGGCAGTGATTTTTTTAACCATGAACCACGTGAAAATTCAAAGTGCTCCCTTGCATATGAAGAGCCCTACTTCTGGATTTTGAGAAACTAGAGGAAGAAGTTGATAATGCATCATAAAGGACCAGCACTGTCTAGGTTTAACGGACCTGGGCTCCTAACTGATGTTTGTAAAGTATATCAGGACTACAGAATTTTGTTAAAGTCAGTTAGTGTTGTTGATGGGCTAGAGCAGGGGCAGGCAAAATACAGGGCCAGGCTATTCTATCTGGCCTGCAGGGCCCCTCCAGAAACCAATTATTACTGGCTTGTGGCTGCCCCTCTGAAAGCTGGTGGGGGGTGGGCTTTGGGAGGTTGTATGCCACTGGACTGGGTGGGCTCTGTGCCTCCCCCTCCATGGGTTTCCTGGCACTCCATCTGGGAGCCCCATGTGGAGGCACCGAGCATGATGGTGCACACCTGGACAGCTGGTAAGTGGGGAAAGGAGCTCCTGCCTGCAGGAG